GTTTGTGGATTTGATGTCAGGCTCTTGACTTGCTCATTATGCAGCTGGGCTTTTGCAATTTCCTAAAAGTCTGGAGCAGTGAGCTGGATGTTGTTTATCCTGGATAAAGTATCAGCAACACAATTACCAGTCCCAGAGCCCTGTCTAATGGCTGTACTAATTTGAACAATAAAATCCAATTCTCAAAGCTGACGAGGGGAGCATGAATCCAAGTTTTTTTCTAAATCTAAAGATTAATAGTCAACAGTCAGAGAAAATGATGAAGTCATGTCCTTCCAAATTCTGTGGAAATATTTAATAGCACAATACACAGCAAAAAAATCTGTCGTATATGTTGTATTTCCTTTCTACAGTGGTAAATTTACTTGAGAACAATGCCATTGGACAATGTCCTTTAGTGATGTGTGCTTGAAGCACAGCTCTTATGGCTGTGTCTGATGTATTTACCATTAAAGACAACTTATCATTAGATGAGTGATAAGAGTGTGGCTGCATTTGCCAGATCTTTTTTTTGCATTGCATAAATGCAGCAGATGCCAATTCAGTCTATGGGACAGCTCGTTTGACTTTTTCTTTTCTTTCTTCCCATCCCCCCTTTTTCTTCAGAAATTCATAGACTGTGTTTTTGCAGCATTTAACAGAAAGCATCTGTAGAAATTCAGCATTGCTAGGAAACACCTCAGCTTACAGATGATTTTTAGTTGAGGCAGGTCAATGATTGCTTTAACTTTTTCATGTAGAGGTTTTACTCCATCCGGAGTGATAAGGCATCGAAGAAAAGAAACTGAGGACTGGCCCAGTCCACATTTGGATTGGTTTAGTTTTAATCCATGCTCTTGAAGGCGGGTGAATATCTGGCACAGATGTTGTACATGTTTTGCCACATCTATAGATGCAACCAGGATATCCTCAAAGAAAGGGATGCTGAAATCGAGACCAGATCATACTTGGTGTATGAATCGTTGGAATGTTTGGCCAGCACTGTGAAGGCCAAATGGCATGTACAAGTCTCCAAGAGGCCAAACAGTGTAGTCACAGCAATCTTGGGCACGTCTGCAGCATAAACAGGGATCTGATGATATGCCCTTGTAAGATCGAAAGTAGAAAATATGTGTTTGCGATGAAAGAGTTGGATACAGTTTTGTATATGTGGTATAGGTACAGGAATAGAGCAAGGAGGGAAGGACAGAAGAATAAAGCTGATGATACTTCTTTAGAGGGAGATTTAGAAGTTCATTATTAAAACAAAGAGGACAGAAAGGGTGGTGTGGTGTATTTAATTATGGCAAAGCACACTAGGGGTATCTGCCTAAGGGGAGGGATGCCTTCGTGGAGTACTTTCTAAGGGAAACTAACTCATATACACGTTACGCAAGGGAAAAAACACGAAAACGCCCATGCAGCCAGCCTGTTCATGGGATTCGAACCTCGGACCGAACTACCAGAGTTCAGCAACTTTACCGCTCAGCCGCTGGTGGGCACAGAACAGACAGGGATAAAGGTTATTATAAGAAAAAGAAGAAAACTAAGAAGAGGGTCATAGAAGGGTTCCTGTGTACTGGGTAAATCAATTATTAGCCCACCGGATGAGACCAGATCTCGAAACTTTTTAGCGTTGGAAAAGGAGAGAAATCTAATAAAACAAGCTTTGCATTAAGCTAGTATAGAATATATCTTATGACAAATTTAGAATAATTCTTAATGTGTGGGGGGGAATAGAAGGCAAAAATATAGAAAATAATACATCAAGAATACAATAACACATAATACAGTCAAAATTCTTTAATCCGGACCTTAAAGCTACAAACTTTCTGCGCATGCGTCAACGCATAATGCGTTAATGCACGCGCATAATACCTTTACACATGAACATATGCGTTTACGCATGCGCATTTAATGTATAACGGATGGTAGAAGTTAAGCTAAAATTATCTAATTATCTATTTCAGTTAATGTTGCAGATTGCGTTGTTCCTTAATCTTCTAATTGGATCCGGCTTATTATTTTTTGCAGACTGTTAGAGCAATTTTATAAAAGTAAGCTGAACTTTCGATTACGTCAAAAAGAATTTCTGATTCTGGAGCTAACAAAGGATCTATAAAGCGAAAGCATGTTTCGATGTCCATCAAACAAAAAAAGTGGAATTGCTGCAAAAAAATGGATAAAGGCATATCCTTTGATTCTCTAACCATTCCGAAATATGTTTCAGGGCAGATATTTTTATTTATTCAGCTTATAATTCCTTAATAAATGTAGTATTTCATCTTGATGTACTGATATGATTTAAATCAATTTCCTCGTCATTATAAATATCACGAATACACATCAAAGTAGTTTTCTAGTTGCAATTTTCTAATTTCGACTATGCGTAATGTATGCTTTACGCATGTGCGCATTGAAAGAAATGTTTAATAAAGTAAACAAATAAATATTAAGCTTTTTTCTAATTTTTGATACCCTTTAGATAATAATTGCTCTTTATTTCATAAATTATGGTTTCATATTTTTAATTTTATAATTTCTGCATGCCATCTTACCAGATTTAAACTGATGATCTATAATCCGGAAAAACTGATAATCCGGAATCGCCGAAGTCCCGATGAGTCCGGATTAAAGACTTTTGATTGTATATCATTATAACAAAATTTTGAATTTTCCAGATTTGGAATAAAATGCTAAAACATAGACCATATCATATGACAAGTATAGAATAATACTAAGAATATAGAAAATAAAATATAGCATAATACATAAAGTATAGAATATGACATAATATATCATATAATAAAATTTAGAATTTTGAATAAAGTGCTAAAATATAGGATAATAGATGATGTATCATATAATAAAATTAATAAAATAGAACTATAAAATTTAGAAGAGAATAATATTGAATTTAGAGTTCATGATCACAAACAATTTTCAGTATTCATTAGGCAGAGTTCATGAGGCATTAAAGTGTTCATGATTATAGAGTTCATAAAAAATCTGTTCATATATTTTTTATGACTCATACAATATTCATAACTCATTTTTTCATGACACAGCAAATCAATATCATGTCTCACCTTTTCAGTTCTAGTTTGCCGTCATGACTCAATTTTTATATTTCATTTTGTTTATTATGGATTTTGTAAGACTTTTTGTTGTTACGATCAATATAGTAAGTAAGTATTTGTTACAAAGATCGATAATTGATCTTTAAAATTTTACATGGTTAAAAATTAAATATTTTGTTATATTTCGTTTGTTGTAGATGGGGTTACTCTGCATAAATTAATCCAATTGTGTTAAGTTTTTGGTGAATTTTTTTCATATTAGAATGAAGATGTTGAAGTTTGATGATCATTCTTTTGAAGGATATATCAATATTTCTGGGTGTACGAATCTGAAAAGTTTTGGTGAGAGGATATGAGAAAAGACAGTGATCACTGTCTCCTTTCTGGCCGCATATACAGAAGGCAGTGTCTGTTAAGTTCCTTTGATGAAAATAAACAGGATATGGCCCATGGCCAGTAAAATAACTTGTTAAAAAGATTTTGTACTCTTGGTTTCAGTATTGCAGTTGGGTTAAAAATGGTATGTACGTCGTCCTGTAGATGCGTTATTTCCCTGTTCTTGCTATAATTGAGTAATTTATTCTTTTATGGAGAGTTGAAGATAAGATTCAGGAAATTTTATATATAGAAAATTGCCTTCTTCATTAAAAGCAGCTTCTTTGGCAAGTTTGTCGACTGTTTCGTTACCAGCATTTTCACTATGGCCTCTTATCGATGATACATGAATTTTAAATTATCTGTTATTTTAGAGAGGTTATTGATGTCATAAGCAATAGAAGATTGATTATCTGGGTTAGAGATAGCATAAATGGCAGATTGACTGTCAGTATTAATATTTAATTCTATAATATTATTTTCTTTTGCTAATTTGATAGCCATTTTTATCGCAGAAAGTTCAGCTTGATGAACACTGTTGGCATTTCTTCCTTTCAATCCTTTCAATATAGAGGTTCAAACCCCGCGAGCGGGCTGGCTGCATGGGCATTTTCGTGGTTTTCTCCATGTGTAATGTGTATACGAGCCAGTTTCCCTTAGAAAGTCCTCCACAAAGGCATCCCTCCCTTAAGGCAGATAGCCCTCGAGTGCTTTGCCGTAATCTAATAACACCAAACCCAAATCTTTCAATATAATATCTGATTGTAGAAATTTTTGCCTAGGAATAAAGACTGCACAGCCAACTTTATTATTAATTTTTGAGCCGTCTGTAAATACTTGAATTGAATTGTTTTTAGTTTTAGAGTTTATTGCTGTTTTTATTTTTATATGTGGTATAGGATATCTGTCACATCATTATATATAAAAATATAATATAGATATATTATATTTTTATATGAGGCAGATAGCCCTAGTGTGCTTTGCCATAATTAAATACACCAACACCAACACCTATATTTTTATATTTGGTACAGAATATCTATCGGAGACAGTGACAGCATTAAGGTGATGGTAGTCCCCACAAGGACACCAATAACAATTTGACTAGTAAGGGACTGGCGCAGGGGCTTTTTGATGGATGAATGGTTCTCTGTGCTAGCATAAATTTAAATTTTTTGCGAGCAGCTTTTAGTATCTCAGAAGAAAGGCGACGAGGCTTGGAGAATTCAGGTAAGCTGTGTGTTTCAATATGATGAACACTTCAGAATGCTGAGTATGTTGACAAAGTTGCAATGGATTTGAAATGCTGGGGAATTTCGCTAATAACTGATGAAACTGTGTATCACCTGAGACACAGTTATGCTCATAGGTACCTTGATATGCAAGAGACTTGACCTTTGATATAAGCTTGGTTGTAGCATCAAACAATTATTCCTGACATTCACCAAGAGGTGGAAAAGGTCCAAGAAATGAATGAACATCAATGACTGGTTAGGCAACATCTGCAATAACAAAAGGCCGTTCAAAAGTTCAGTGCATATTCAAATTAAGTGTTAACAATTTGGTACTATAGTTAGCAATTCGAGTACCATTAGCTGCATATAGCACAAGTTTATTGTTGTTAGCATTTATATCACTCTTAGAGAGCACCGATGTGTCTGCTCCCATCTCTACCAAGAAATACAATTTAGTCGAATGGTCAGCTAGTAGAATTCTATCAATGTGGCGGGCATTCTGTTGACCAGCAGTGGGCTTTCCAGTTAGTTTCCCGGTTTTTGAGAAGTACATGGAGGAGTGCACTTTCAAGCTTGAGCATAAAATTCATATGGTAAAAGCATATGGCATTTGCAGGCTTTTTGTATGGTATTTGAACAGTGTGATGAGTTTGACTCACAATGCAAGAAAATGCAAAATTTCTTGGATTGGTCGATGTTAACGATGTGAAGCATGCAGAGTTTCAGACAGCTTTTATCAAATCAGCCATTTGTTGTTCTAGCACCAGACTCAAAGAAGCTGCATTAGCAGAGTTGAGACATGCTGAACAATCAGCTTGTTAATTTTGTCGGCTATTGTTGAGTCAGTTAGGTCTTCGGTGGAGGTAGCAAGAAAGATCTGCATGTTACTAGGAAGGCGTGACAGCCATAGCAATTTCAGCAAGTCATCGCTGAAATAGTTTCCTGCCAGATCACACATCCGTGTGAGCAAGTATGAGGGTCACTGGTCACCAAGTTCAAGTCTTTGCAGTAAGGTACATATTTTTGGGGGATTAACTTTTGGAATACATTTCTATGAGCTACACTTTTAATTTGGAATATTTATCACAATTGATGGGGTTTAAGGATCAAGTCATCCCCTATATTCAAAATATGAGACTTCATTGCTGCAACTACATGCTTGTATTTTGTGGAGTCTTCGCTAATGTGAACGACAGAAAACTATGCTTCAATCTGCGCAAACCACAATGATGGGTTATTCTTCCAGAATGGAGGTGGCTCCACTGCAACAAGTGTTATTCGTGGTTCTGCTTGCATCGAGTCAGGCATATTATACGAATTTTTCTTTAAATAATAACCACTTACCTGCACAAATATTCGAACATGAAGATACACTATTAATAATTTAACAGGATGGAAAAAAAAACAGATATTTTGTTGGCAACTATACACATAAATGAGAATTTGTTGGCCATAATACACACAAATATTTTCTCGAGATGCACTATTTGACAGAAGTGAATCATTCACAGCATACCACTTTTTATTGAATAAAAATGCTAACCACCTGTTATCCTTTTTCACTGTGAAGCACATTTACTGAAAATCAGTTCTGTAACACATTTATTGGAAATCACAGGCATAGCACGTCTTGAAAATCACTGCTGCAGCACATTGATCACAAATGCTGAGTAGGTGAATGATGATGTTACTAATGGCAAATTCCTCAAAAGAGTTCAAGTTACACTAGTGCTCATAAGAAGGCTCTGCATGATGATGTGCACAACATGAAAACACAATAAATACAGTACAAAATCCGTAATCCAGACTCGTTGGGACTTCAGCGAATACGGATTAGAGGTTTTTTCGGATTATAGATCATCAATTTAAATCTGGTAAGACGGCATGCAGAAATTATACAATAAAAAATATGAAACCGTTCTTTATGAAATAAAGAGCAATAATGATCTAAAGAGCATCAAAATTTACAAAAAAAAAAAAGCTTAATATTTATTTGTTTACTTTATTAAACATATCTTTCAATGTAAGTTGTTTAAATTGCTTCATTTTTTGTGCTAATACTTTCTCTTTAATTCTATAAAAAGACATAATTTCTTGTTCTATTACAAAGCTCCCCTGATCAAGTCCCGTAATTGCTGTGTCGAGAATACCGACTAAATTGTCAATCGAAATTTTTTCATTTTCAATAACCTCTCTGCAACTTTCTTCACTTCTGAAGCGCGCATGCGTATAGGAAGATGCGCATGCGTAAAGTATAAAAAAAAACGTTCGTGGCTTTGAGGTCCAGATTATAGATCATTCCGTATAATGGATGTCCGGATTTACAAACTTTGTACTTTATATTGGAATTCCAGGAAATAACTCAATAGATATGCTGAACGATGCATTTAGTGTTGATGCTTTTCGAAAATTCTACTCAGTTTCTTTTAAACGGCGCAAATGGACGTGGGCTAACATCGGTGAAACTGCATAACCAGTAAAGTATTCATTTGCTAAGGTCACCAGTTTTTTGGTGAAAATGTTGAGAGACTGTGAAATTATTAAACAAAGAACTTTTATCACAACAAAATTTACATTTTAAACATAACATTACAATTAAGAAAAAAAAATTACACTAGATGTTCATGTGATACTGGATCTCAAAGATCTTTTATTTCAAAAGACTGTATAAAGAAATAGGGATTATGAGTGAAAGATAATTCCCTTTCTGCCTAGAACAATTTAATACCGTGATTAATGGGGAAGTTGATTTATTATTTACTTCTTATTTTAAAAGTGATACTCACATATCAACATTAGTGTTTGTACTGGATACAGTGACAAATAATATTCCTCATATATTGTTGCATCCTATGGGTTCGTAGATTTGGAGCAATTAGCGACAATACTTGACGAAGAATGAAATAACAATTTGTTGGCCAGTATTACTTAGGACAGCTCCAAAAACATGTTTACAGTCATAAAAAACTATGACAAGCATGCTGAAACAATCAGCAACACAGCCTTCAGGCTATCAAGCTATACTGGTAAAGACATCTTCACAGCAAAGCACTAGAATACAGCTCCCGACTCCGTTTGGTCATTCTTGGAACTCAACATACTCTTGAGACTCTTCATGTTACAACTCACGATGCACTTGACAGCCTCAACAATGACCAACTCAACACTAGACTGCTTGCCTTTAAGAACATTCTGGGCGAAAATAGTAAGAATTTTTTGAGAATGTTCTCCATCCATGTATGGCATATTGGCAATTTTGCCGCCAAATGGGCGATTTTTGCGCCAAATATGGCAACCTTGCCTTATCTTGCCATTTTCTGCCAACCCTAAATCTACTTTACTGAGAAGCTATTTTACCACAGCTGGACATTTCGTAACAACATGTCACCAGTCATCTTTGTTAACTTCAGAAACTTAAAGGTAGCTGGACATTTCGTAACAACATGTCACCAGTCAACTTTGTTAACTTCAGAAACTTAAAGGTAGATGATCCATTATGTTTCATGTCACAAACAATTGACATTTTACTGGATATATATGTATTTCTGCGTTTAATGACGGGAGAAATTGTCAAACGTGGCCAAAAATGCACAATTTTAGGTACTACAAATTATGATTCACATACAACTGAGCCAATATATGTAAATCATGTGAATGGAATCATACATGAGTTAATAAATTCTTTCTTGGAGTTGAAAATTTCCAAATGTGCAACCATCGGATAACATATTTAACTTAACCGATGAAGAAATTCTTTGTGACAAACAATTTGAAAGTTCTCATTTTAGAGATAAAATAGGCTGTTATTCAGTTGCATTATGATTCAAACATAAAAGAGATATGTTAGATGATTCCCGTGAAATGGCGTACAGAAGATTTCAAGATTTAGAAAACACACAGCTATCCATGCCAGAAATTTACAACCAGTGCATTCAGTTAATGAAAGAATATTTTTCACTGAGACACGTAGAAGTAGTGCCAAATCAGGAATTAGACAATAACCGTTAATAGATACCACATTACTTCATATTGAAAGGATCTAGCTTAACAACAAAACAGAGTTGCCTTTGAAGCTAGTGATAAAACATCCACAGGTGTTCCTTTAACTGATATATAATTCACAGACCCCCAACACAGAAGATTATTTAATTTGTGTTTTATTAAGATTTAGACTTCATAATACAGTACAAAGTCTTTAATCTGGACTCGTTGGGACTTCGACAATTCCGGATTATAGATCATCAATTTAAATCTCTTAAGATGGCATGCAGAAATTATACAATTAAAAATATGAAACCATAATTTATGAAATAAAGAGCAATTATGATCTAAAAGGTACCAAAATTTACAAAAAAAAAAAAATGCTTAATATTTATTTGTTTACTTTATTAAACATTTCTTTCAACGTGCGCGTGTGTAAAGCATACATTACGCATAGTAGAAATTAGAAAATTGCAACCAGAAAACTATTTGATGTGTATTCGTGATATTTATAGGTGTTATTTTCTTCGAAAAGTAACACTTTGAAAAAATAGATGAAAGTTTAAATATTATATACCCAAGTTCCTTTTTTTCCCATTCATATGCATGTAATCATCATATACCCAAGAAGAGCTTTTTAGGGCGGGTGTAGAGTAGCAGGCCTTCCCGAGGTACACCGTGGATTTCCAATCCATCTTTGCCTTCAGCCTTTAAAGAAATTATGTTTTAGTTCTGGTTTCATCAACAGATGGCACCACTAGCTTGTTCTCTGTCCAGGTTTTCTTATCTTATCTAATCATTATATCCTATCTCGTTCATTTGCGCTTTTGCAGCTGAAGATTGTGGTTCGGTAAAACCATCGAAACTACTCCTGTGAAAATTTGAAAATATAACGCTGATTTCTGTTGTTTGACTTCTGAATTAGTATAGTCAAAAGTCTTTAATCCGGACTCATCGGGACTTCGGCGATTCTGGATTATAGATCATCAGTTAAAGTCTGGTAAGATGGCATGCAGAAATTATAAAATTAAAAATATGAAACCGTAATTTATGAAATAAAGAACAATTATGATCTAGAGGGTACCAAAATTAAAAAAAAAGCTTAATATTTATTTGTTTACTTTATTAAACATTTCTTTCAACGTGTGCATGCGTACAGCATACATTACGCATAGTCGAAATTAGAAAATTGGAACCAGAAAACTATTTGATGTGTATTCGTGATATTTATAATGACGAGGAAATTGATTTAAATCATATTGGAGTACATCGAGATGAAACACTACATTTAGTAAGGAATTATAAGCCAAATAAAAGAAAAAAATCTGTCCTGAAGATGAGGACAGTGCTGACAGATCAACTTCCAATTTATTGTACGCCGCAACATCCCCCCCCCCCCCCCCCCGCAGAGCAGCGTGAAATTGATAAACAGATTTTGGAATAGTTAGAGGAACAAATCACCTCTCTGTCACTTTCTTCATGCCTTTATCCAATTTTTGCAGCAATTCCACTTTCTGTTTAATGGACATCAAAACATGCTTTCACTTTGTAGATCCTTTGGCAGCTCCAGAATGGGAAACTCTTTTTGACATAATCGAAAGTTCAAGCTTTTAGTTTTTAATTTTATAAAAAGGTTACTTTTTATAAAATTGCTCTAGCAGTCTGCAAAAAATAATAAGCCAGATCCAATTAGAAGATTAAGGAACAACGCAATCTGCAACATTAACTGAAATAGATAATTTTAGCCTAGCTTATACCGTCCGGTATACATTAAACGCGCATGCGTAAACGTATTATGCGCATGCGTAAAGGTATTATGAGCATGCATAAGCGCATTATGCATTTACGCATGTGCAGAAAGTTTGTAGCTTTGAGGTGCGGATTATAGATCTTTCCGGATTATGGACGGCCGGATTAAAGACTTTATACTGTATTGCAACAACTGCTGATATTGGAATGATGTATAGACAAATAAAAGTTGATGAAAAAGATAGAGACTTTCAGAAAATATTAGGGAGAGATAACCCAGATAAACAAATACAAGTTTGCAAGCTTTGTTTTTTGAAGTTTCCTTAGAGAAAATAAAATGGATATTTCATCCGCCTTCATCTTCTCATTTTCATGGATTAGGGGAATCAGCTGTAAAATCAAAGAAATTTCATCTAAAGAGAACTGATACTGTGCTGACATATCCTGAATGTCAAACTTTCATAATGCAAGTTGAGGCTTGTCCCAACTCTAGTATGCTGTGTCCAATATTGTCTGACTGAAAATGATTTAACTGCATTAACATCTGAGCATTTCCTAGAAGGAATGTCTTTAACTATAATACTTGAGCAACATCCAAGTCACAATTTCTTGAATCATCTTGACAGATGGCATGTGAGACAGTTCATCATTCAACAATTCTGGTAAAGATGGAGTTGGGAATACTTGTCGCAGCTTCAGAGAGACGAAAGTGGCAAAAAAAGTCAAAAGGATTCAGAATTCAATGATTTGGTTCTCATCAAAGACAGTCTTCCACCTTTTAAATGGAAGGGAGAATAATTGCTGTTCATCCAGGCACAGGCCACAGAGTCAGAGTTGTTAGCGTTAAAAAAACTGGTCACGGTGTCATAAAACGACCTATTGTGAAACTGTTTCCTTTTCCAGTACAGACTAATAACTGTGAACTGCGTGATACCTAATGTTTTTGCATTTTGTATTAGTTTTATTAACAGTATTTTCATTATAGAATAAGAAGTCACAAAAGTCACCAATTGTTGAAATGTTTGGGATTTCAGTGGGGCCTGGATGTTCATGTAGGTTTTACTGTTCTCTACATTTTTACATCTGGCAACAAGTCTGGTGGTGAATAGAATTTTTGTTTTATGACAGCCATGTAGAATGGCTTGCTATCTTGTAGTATTTTTTCATATTTAGAATTAGTGCGACAAAATAAAGCTAGAGGAAAAACAGTCCATGCATCACGTGAATTATTTAGCAAACTAGAGTAGTGAAATAATGTTTAATTTGTGCCAATTACTTTGAAAACCTTCAATGCATGCTAACCATGTAAAAGTTGCTGTAGGGGGAAAAATTTTTTTTTGTGGGATGGAGTATAAAAAGCGATGTTTTTTTTTTTTTACACTACACCCATTAAGAGTATTTATACAAAACATTACAGTCATAAATGATGAGTGAAAAAAAAATTCAATTTCTCATGAAGATGAGCTTAACCTTGAGTTATCCAAAAAGGCTTCAGTTCAGTTAGCTTGGGTAAACAGAAATCTGTTGTAGAATAAGGTTTTGTAACCCTGGTACATAAATTTTCAAATTCTCTGAACAGGAGATAATTAGCAAGTTAAAATATTCATTCAGTAAAGTTCGTAAGAACTACCAAACTCAGGACGATTTTCTGCAACATATTGATGGAGTGGAACATGGAAACACCCACACAATTAGCCCATCAATTCTGCCAGATGAACTGCTCGACCAACAATGCACTTCTCTCCCCATTCAGAATTACAGGAACTTAAGAACTACAAGATGGAAGTCATTTATCAATCTTAATTCATAAGAGGAAAAAAGGTTGCTTTATTAAAACATTAAAAAAATAGCTCATTCTTGAGGCAATGTGTTTTATTTAATCATTTAATGACTCATACTAACTTTTCCTGAGATAAATGAAAATGAATTTAAGTCATTTCTTTATGCCAATTACCTAAATTCAAAAAAAACAAATTTAAAAAACCTCTACAAAATTACTCTTTACTTACTTTGTTACTTAGATTACAAAAAAACTGGAATATCAGCACAAAGAGTATGCAAATTGAATACAAATTCATCAGTAACATGCCAAAAAATGTTCTTCCAAAACGTTGATTCACACTCAAAATGACAGTTACAGAAGAGGCAGAAATTAAGGATGAGGAAAATTAAAGACTTCAAGGACCATACCAACACTGGCAGAAGTATGTATAAAAAAACATGGTTAAACAAGTAAACATGTCTCCAAGAGATAAGTGGATTCTTTAATTTCTCAGTTTTCCTCTATTATTTAAATATAGTTTTGTTATCATTTAGGTACTGCATGGAGAAAATAATGCATTTAAAAAGTGGAACATTCTGCTATAGCACACTATAACATTAGGATTTAAAATTAAAGCTGTTATGCAGTAGAAATAAATTTATAAACTAGATTCATAAAATACGGAGATAAAAATGGAACATACCATAAAGTCTGAATGCATATTCAGCTTTAACAGTTTTGGGGCAACTATCACTAAAAACTGACATCATCTGTAAGAAATCTTCAAATGACATGAGAAACATCCGTGAGCAGAATATTCTACGCAAACGATCCTTGAACGGTGAAGCCTTAGAAAAGTTTTTTGCAAATTATTATAAAATCAGTGTATAAAACACAGAAACATAACAATTTAAATACAATCTTTTTGATTAAACAAACTTTTACATTCTGCTTTCAAATTTATTCCTCAATAATTCTTACATTTAAATACATTATAAATAAAATCAGTAAATAATTTAGCTCAAATAAACGAGATAATAAAAGAGTAATAATTACCCACAATTCAGGCATGTGATCTTCAACCATCTCCCAACGCAAAACTAAATTTTGGCCTAGAGTTTCTGAAGGCTGTGAGGTGCAGAATGAAAGAAACAGCCTGTGGGCTCTGGAATAATTCATTACATATTTTCTTTAATTATGCACTGTTATGAAAAATGCAATAATTAAAATTAACATGTTTTTATAGGAGGTAACTGAATACACTATTTTGCACAAAAATCGAAGCATCAAGAAGGACTTTTGCAATTGTGACAAAATTTAGTATGCAAAAACATCTTAATCGAACGTGCAAATGATCAAAATTTCAAGGCCAATGAACAGGAATTGTGATCATAGCACACATTTCTACTGCATAATTCGCAAAGTAAAAACCAGTAACAGAAGCGGAAAATTTATCTTTTTTGTTGCTTGTAATTATATAAAAAAAGCAACTAAAGATGCCATTGCAACAACATTGAAAACTTTACAGACAACTAAATGATTTCAAATCTGGTCACATTGAAGGGTTGCGTGAAGCTGGGTGGTCATACCGAGCAATAGGCCACCACCAGTAGCGAGACTGCTGTGCAAAGATGTTGGCAGCAATGGTTGCTACAAGGAAACTGCCAATGAAATGAAGGCTCTGGAAGGCCAAGGAGCACAAATGCGAGGCAAGACAGGATGATTATTCACCAGGCCCAATCCGCCTCAACGGTTTCATTGTTGACTATTCAATGCACTACAGCCACGTCTATACCTCCTGTGGTACCGTCCACCATCTCACGCCGCTGGTCTGAGGTGGAGTTATGCTCACAGATGCCTTTAATCTCACAACATCAGCGGAGTCGTCTGCAGTGTTTTCGCAGCCGATCATCATAGCTGCCATCAGACTGGCATCGTATAGTGTTAGCGATGAATCCCGCTTCCCTCTTGAAGCAGATGACCACCATGTTCGTGTCCGGAGAGGACAGGGCCAGCAGTTCCAATCGGCCTTTGTTTTACAAAGGCACACAGCCATAACCCCTGGTGTGATGGTGTGGGGTGCTATTTCTTATGACAGCAGGTCATCTTTAGTCATACTCCGTACATCTTTAACAGCTCACAATTGTGAACCATCCTGCAGCCAGTTGCATTACTCTTCATGGCATGTCATCTTGGGGCCATTTTCCATCAAGATAATGCCAGGCCACATACTGCTCGCATATCTCTGGACTGTCTCCATGCGGCTGATACTCTTCTTTGGCCAGCAAGGTCAGCACAGGTTTCACCAATCGAGCATGTCTGGGGCATGGTAGGCTGCCAGATTCGGGCACCACAAAATATCGCAGATCTGGAGCGACAACTGATGAATGCCTGGCAGAACGTGTCGCAGGATGTCATTAGAAACCTCCACAACTTCCAATTCAAGGTTGCATTGCCGCCAGGGGCGGTTCGACCAGCTACTAATTTGAACACTCAGTGGATTGCGAGCTGTGAACAGGCACTATGACCTTGATTTTTTAATCATTTTATTATCTGTGCATGAGCTATACACATATTCAATTTCATCAAAAACAATTACTTTTTTGGCTTCCTCCCCAAAGAGTGTAATATGAGAAGCAAATTAAAATGCAAAATAAATTATTTAAAAAAAATAGGTAGTAGCTAAATTTTGACATCACGTTCTTTGACACACTCATAAGCAGCTGTTCACATGATTCCTAAAATGAATAATTTAAATTAAACTTAGTGCATAAAACTAATCACCCACATAATTATAGAAATGATTTAGAAATGAGTTGTTTTTTTTCCATTATTACAAAGAAATAAAAGTATATATGAAAACTACATACATGAAATTTATTATTAAAAATATTCAAAAGTGCAGAGTACTTGCATAAGTTACAAGCATTAAAAAAAGTTATTTAATCAGCTCAAGTTCTATTTCATGGCAAATTTATTTAGCTCTTGCGCAAGATCCACTGTACTATGATTCCCATCCTTATGTGAAAACGATTTGAAAAGATCTACTGAAATGCTTCCAATGAGAAGTTCTCAACCATCTCCATAGAGTTCCAACTAGTTACCCTGCAACTTCCATGTGTTTGGTCCACAAAAAACATCAACAAGAACAGTGGTTCACAAATGACGAGATACAAGAGACAGCTAAGAATGGTTCTGCATGCAAACAAAGACTTTTTTTCAGATGGTATTCATCTTGTGGACCATTGGGACACTTGTTTCAGCTGGCAAACTGATCATGTGAACAGCTGATTATATTTTGCACAACAATAGACAAGATGATCCTTGTTTGCATAAGGTATATTCATATTATGCACTCTCGTATATTTTTACAACTGACCAGGTTAGGACATTTATGCAGATATCACGTATGTGCCATATTTCAGTTTGCAAGCATGCATATACTCAAACTAATAAACCACAGCAGAAATTTAACAGTTGTATTTTTATTTGGGCATGCATGATTAAATTTACATTAAAAAAAGCTGCACTTGAAAGATTATTTGCAGTTTGTGAAAATTATCAGTTATACTATTTAATCCCATTCTAATTATTTAATCAATAATTCACTTAATAAATTTTGTGAAAATGCAGCCCAAAGTTTTGAATTAAAAATAAACCTTTTTCAACTATTAGCAGCAAAATTTAAAAAAAAAATAAATAAATATTAAAAAAAAAACTTGCTCAAGAATTATATTAACATGTCATGCATTAATAGCACAGAGTATTAAAAGATAAACTTACACAAAAAATCAAAATATAAATCAACTCAATCTGGATATAAAAACAAAAGAAGCTGTAGTCAATTAAGTATTGCATTCTTTCTTTGTCAGCAGTAAAAAATAAAGAAATTTAATTATTTTTACTGGTTACATGCAAATAAATTACAGCACTTCAATAACGCATAGAAAGTAAATGCTTCAAACAATTACAGCAAAATGCTAATAATTAACTAACTAAATTCCTTAACATAAGATCTTTTTATTATATTTTAGAAACAGCTAAAATGTTATTTATTAATTTTGCTTAATTTTTAAAAATCACATTTATTAATAACTAAAATGGAGATACCAAATATATTATGGGTTTTGCAAATTTTGCAATGATAAGACAGTTATATAGATACAACTTATTCCACATTTAGAAGTTAATAAATATTTTGAAAAAAGGAATATATTGAATTTCCTATTTAATGCTTTATTGGTGTGCATATTACTGTCATTTTGGGGAAGTTACTGTAAAAGGTCTTGTGACTATTTAAAAACACAAATTCACCACACACACTGACTGCAACAGTATCATTTTTTTTACAAGAGCTAACAATATGATAAAGAGCAAAGAACTTGCACAAGTAAAAAAATTAGGTTGCATGGCTCTAAATTTTTTAATGGGGTACCTAAAAAATACATTTTCGACACACCCATTTCATATCCAGCAAATGTTAATAACCAATTTCTTGTATCATGAGTTATAAAATTTGTAATAATGAAATACATATGTCAATATTATAAATGCTTAAAACTGCAAAACTACAAACATGTTTAATCATACGATCAGAAAAACAATAAATATTTACAGAAAAAAGTACTTAAACAGAAAAGTATCCTTTCTATAACCTGACACTGAATAGGTCAGATTTCTAAGAAACACATGCTTTGTTGACATTGTGTCATCTACACTGTCTTCCAAAAGTTAAGGAACAGCATGTTTTTAAACAGAAAAGTATCCTTTCTATAACCTGACACTGAACAGGTCAGACTTCTAAGAAACACATGCTTTGTTGACATAGTGTCATCTACACTGCCCTCCAAAAGTTAAAGAACAGCATGTTTTTCAAAAATGTCACTAACATTTAAATTCACAGTTCATATGCATGACAGTAATAAGTTTAAGAAAATACATGCAAAAACAATAGCTACCACTTTTATTTTACAACAAAAAATACTTATATAGGAGTTGGAGAAAACATGCAAAAATCACAATTTTGGTTCACGAGTACCTTCAGTCGTTATTACAGTTTCATGGATAATAGCCAGGAAAGTCTCTCAATGTCCAGAAGTCATGCGCCCGATTCGTTGAGGTGGCAGGCGATCGGATGGATGGAAATGGGGATGTCGCAAGCTGATGCTGCTAGACGTATAATGTCTCTTGTATTGTGCTCCACTGCTTATGGAATCAGTTTAAAAGCGAGGATTCTGTGTCTAGAAGACATGTTCAAGGAAGACCTAGAGTTAAAACACTTGGGGGAGACAGTTATTTAGCTCTTTCGGCATGAAGGAGAAGCAAAATTAGTGTACTGCAGATCATTTATTGGCAACAGGAACAAGAATCTTAGCTACTACAGTGCATAAACGCCTGCACAATGCAGGTCTATATGCAAGATGCCCAGTTGTTGCAAGAGAACATGCCTCCTGGACCAGTCAACAATGGGCATCTCTTTTCTTCACAGATGAGTCTTCAAATTTTAGAATGATTCAGGTCGTCAGCTGATCTGGAGGGAACAACGCATCAGATACAAATCAATCCCACATTGCGGAGACACACAGTTACAGAAGTGGTGGAATAATGGTTTGAGCTCAGTGGTCACATTGACCTGCATGTGTTCCATGGAGTAACTCTGACTGGTGTGAGATACTGAGACGAGATCCTTGGTCAAAATGTCTGCCCACATGCCACTGCTATTGGTCCTGGATTTCTTCTGATGAAAGACAATGTGTGACCGCACTGAGCTCGGATTGCTGAAGAATATCTTGAGGGTCACAGTATGGAGCGGATGGAATGACCAGTTCAATCCCTAAACCTGAATCCAATAGGGCATCCTTGGGACCACCTTGGAAGAGTTTTCCTCCAAGGTCGTTAGACGAGCTTGAACAATAATTACTCCGTGTCTGGCCGTTGCTTAATGTTTCACTAACAACTTCATTGACAGCATGCAATGTCGCTGCCGCCAGTGTACTGCAACTAGGTGTGGACATGTTCCTTATTAGAACCCATTTCTGTAATGCTACCCCCCCCCCATGTTTTTCTCAAAAACTGTGATATACGGTTTCTCCAAAACTGGATTTCTTGGCCAAGAGTACAATTTTTTATTATAATTTACGTTTGTGTTGAGCTCTAGAGACATTC